CCTCCCCGCCCCGCCCCCACCCGGTCTCCACGCTGGCCCCGCCTCCCTCCCCACTCCCGTCTCGGGGTGTACTCATCTTTACAGCCCCCAGGAAGCTTAGAGCAGTGAGCGGTTCCTTACCTCGAACTGAAACTCTTCCTAACCGACCGAGGGGCTCTGTGTCTACACTGTTGGCACAAACCTCGTGGTTCATGTCGAACGCCTGCTTTCCTGCTGGGTGCCTGGATTTTGGGGGTGCCGGGCAGCGTGCCCACGTGACCGACCCAGCCCAGGCACGGAGTCTCTAAGGCGCTTCCCTGGAGGAACACGCCACGTGTTTCCACACTTCCTTGCTGGGGAAAGAGCACGTTCTGCGAGACCTTCCGGGAATTTCCGAGGGAACGGAAGGAATCAGCACCCGGATTCCTCCTGACCGCCCCCTCCCATCCTTGGAATGCGGCCGTGCATATCTGTACTGCGCCCTGGACCCTTGCACACAACCCTCCTCCCAGTCCTGCGAGCCTCCTAGCAAGTCCGCGGAGCTGGGGGTGGTCTCGGGAACCCCCCCACCTGCCCTCCCACCGCCCCCCACCCCTTGGCTCAATGGAGGAACCACTTCTTGCCGGCTCGGAAGCATTTCCAGTGTTTGGAGGGCTGAGCCCCTGTCTCCATCCATGTCTCCACTCCCCCGTAAGTACGTCTGGAACTCTCCAGAACTCATTTGCCCGCGTGCCTGGAATCTTTCCCTTGTCTACATTCTCGGGTAAGAATTCAGAGTTTCCACAGCAGACGTGTCCCCACGCGTTCACATCTTCCGTGCAAAACATGCTTGTGAGCTCTCCTGGGCCCCTATGCCCTCACATGGACTGCCCCTCCTCTGTGCCCTCAGCCAGAGGCCCACATGTCCACATACAGAAGCTTCCTCTTCTCCTCTCCCCACACAGGATGCTCCCCCGCCCCGTCCTGGGTTTGTCCCTGACCGCAGCCCCGGTCTTGAGGGACACCGTGGCATGCGAAGGAAGAGTGTAGTAGAGGCTGGCCTGGTCCTCCCGGCTCCCAGGAGCCCACACACGGGGCACCGGGGGTGCTGGGCCGTGAGTTCCTGAGGCTTCCAGGTGTGGAATACCACATCCCACACGGCTGCAAAAACTGCAACTGCTCCCTGGAGTCTCACCCACTCCAGGATCTGGCACACGCACGCTGCATCCCATCCCCGGCCTCTGCGGGAAACTCTGGGCTGCGTACCCCAAGGTGCGGTCTGCAGGACATGCGGGCCTGTGGTTCCTGAAACGTTTGCTCAACACGCCTTCCAGCCCCGCCTTCAGCAAGTCACGTTCAGCAGTGCATGCAGTCAGCACCCTGCACACACACTGGGAGAAGCGAAGTAACAACCAGACAGCAGACAGGGGAGGCTTGGAGCGGTTAGGATTTGTGGGCTGGCTGGAACGGCCCCCTGCCGCTCGGCACTGCTCCCTGTCCCCCTCTGACCGCCCCTCTCACAAAACCTGACTCTCAGGATTCACTTTGCAAAAACCTTCCCTTCCGTGGGATGCGTTTTCCAACCCTGTTATTGGGGTCACCCTGAGCAGGTTCTATCATCTCCGATCCCCAGGAGCTTCCATGGGGCACGCTCACCCAGCTGCTGGTCCAGCTCCCGGCTCAGATGCCAGAAGGCCACACTGGGCCCCAGCCAGGCCCACAGCTGCTCCTGGATGAGTCCACCCCCTCTGTGGTGCAGAGAGCGTGGCTTCCCCCTCCAGCATGTACACAGCCTTCGGCTGCATGCTGGAAAGGGTTCTCCGGGCTGCTGTGCCCACTGCACCCACGGGCACCCTGGCCTGTGTCTCCACCCACCACCTCACCTCCCCACCTCCCCTATTCCTTACATCTTGTGAGAACAGGGTCTTCTTGAAGCTCCCTCCGACTCAGCAGCTGGTTGAAATGATTTAGAAAACTAAACGGAGTAGCAACCCGATGTCCGTCCTCACCACTCCTGATCCCCCACACCTGCTCCTGACGGGCTGCAGCAAGGCCCATGACTTCACCTATGAGCCCCTGATGGGTAAGAACAGGGGCCTGACCCAGCCTTACCAGCCTTTCCGAGAGTGGGGCCCAGGTGTCTCTGGAACAGGGCTCTGTATAAATCCTCTTGGAAGCAAGCGCACCTGTGTGCGTCCGTCAGGCCATGCTACCGGTCCTTGTCAGGAGCTGCAGGGTTGGGCCGGCAGAGAGCGAGGGGCCATGGCTGTGCAGGTCACCTGGTCTGAGTGGCCTGTGCTGGAACCTTCCACCAAACTGCCGGGTTGCAACCTGCCAATGAAGAGCATGGACGTCCCGCTGCTGTGTGAAATTCGCCCCATGCCCAGGTGAGGAAGCAGGAAAAGAAAGCCCTGGGGTGGGGGGGCGGCCTGACTGGCCACCTCCTGTGGGCTCAGGGTGCCCACTTACTTAGGCCTTGCTTGTCCTTACTGGTTTGGTTTTGCTGCGAGCTCTTTCCCGTATTTCAGATTCCTGCACAAATTCTGTGTGGTCTGACTGTGAGGGTGGCTGGGCTCCAGCAGGGGCGGACACCACTGGGCTCAGGTAGCAGTCAGCCCCTCGCGGGGCCCTGCGGCTTTCTGCCGAGGAGCTCCTTGCCTGGGTGCCTGCTGGCCTCAGGAGAGGAAGCCCCCTCCCACCCTCTCTCCCTCCCTCCCTCCCTCCGCCCGTCCCTTTGTCTGATCAGCTTCAGAATTCTGCTGCTAGCACAGCGGATGTCCCAGCCGGCTTTTCATCACTGTAACTACCGGGCTTTTGATTAGCTCTGGGAATGGTGACATTGAAGGTCTTCACCGCGGATACTGTGGAGGATGCTTCAGACTCGGTGCCCCCACCCCCACACGGACGGGGTGCAAGAACCTGCGCGGTCGCGATGCAGCCTGCGCACTTAGGGACAGGACCCTTCAGCGGTCCGGTGCGAGGCCACTGCTCTGGGATTTCTGGCGGCCCAGTGCTGATGGGGGTTCTGTAATCCATCTGCCTGGAATGAGACCCTCGCTTCCGGCAGCCTACACAACAGGGTCTGTGCGAGTTTCCTGCAGCTTGTTTCCACAAGCTGGGGCTTTGTCTGCCCTCGCAGTTCTGGGGCCCGAAGTCTGCGGCCCCGGCTTGGGGGGGGCGGCGGGGCCTCCGCGGGCGGGCGGGGGGGGCGGGCGGGGCGGGGCCTCTGCGGCCCCGGCTTGGCGGGGGCGGCGGGGTCTCCGCGGGCCCGGCGGTGGGGAGGGGCTTCTGCGGGCCGGGCGGTGGGGCGGAGCCTCTGCGGGCCGGGCGGGGGCGGGGCCTCTGCGGCCCTGGCTTGCGGGGGCGGCGTCTCCAGCTTCTGGTGGTTGCTGGCTTGCCTTGACTCGCAGATGTCTTACTCTGGCCTCTGGCTCTGTCATTCCATGGCCTTCTGCCCTGCATTTTCTCTGTCTTCTCCCCTTTTCCTCTTCTTACTAAGCAAAGCTGTCATTAGATTAGGGCCCACCCTATTCCAGTGGGACCTCAACTTGGTCATGTCTGCGAGGAACCTAATCCCAATGAGGACATGTTCATAGGGCTTAGGATGTGAACGTTATCGTTTGGGGAACACAACTCAACCCCAAACAGGACCCGTGAAGTCCTTGGCATGCGGTTGCAAAGGCATGGTGCAGAATTCCGTCTGAGACTGCTTTGTGTGGACGCTGTGGTCTCTGACTCTACACTGCACCTTCTCCCTGCGATCTTCCGGGAAGCTCTTCTGGTTGGTAATCAAGTTGACAGTCACTCCTGAAGGCAGTTAACTTCCCGTCACATCCCTTCACAGCCTCACGGAAGACCCTCTGTGACTTGAGGTCGTGAGCTGCCGAATCCAGGTCTGACTTGCCTTCCCTCATTTGGGAGGTGGGCGGTGGGCCAACGCATCTCGTTCCAGGTGTCCCATGCTGCCACAATCTGAGGGATGACCATATTTTTAATATTTTACTAGTAGTGTGCCTGTGGGAAAAACGCAGGGGAAGAGAAGATTTCCTAGGCCATGAGCCATAGAAATTCTAGGGCCAGCAGTGACCTCGGGAAGTGTCGAGTTGAACTGGATGGAACCGCATCCAAGTCCTTCCGCATCAGGGACGAGTACGCTATTCTTCTTCTCCCACTGGGGACCCCGTATTTTGAAGTATTGTGACTATCCAACTGAATTCATTAAACCTTTTAAAGTTTCCAGGGGTGCCTAGGTGGCTCAGTCCATTAAGTATCTGACTTTGGCTTAGGTCATGGTCTCAGGGTCCTGGCGTCAAGCCCTATATGTGGGGTGGGGGGCGGGGGGGCGTGTCCATGCTCATCGGGGAGTCTGCTTGTCCCTCCCCCTCTGCTCATGCTCGCTCTATCTCAAAATCTTAAAAAAAATGAAATTAAAAATAAAGGTTCTATATTTTAAAAGTATAATGCTAACCTGGCCTTTAAACTAGTTTGGGGGCACCCATCTGGCTCAGTTGGTAGAGCATGCGACTCTTGGTCTCAGGTTGTGAGTTTGAGCCCCATGTTGGGTGTAGAGTTTACTTAAACATCTTATAAAAATATAAAAAATATTTTTAAAACCCTATTTTTAATTGTAGCAGAAAACACAGAATAGAGAATTTAGCCTCTTAAGTTTTAACCGTGCAGTTCCATAGTAACTATATTCTGTTTTCTGCAGCAGATCTCTAGAACTTCTTCATGTTGCAACACTGAGACTCTGGGCCCATTGAACAACTCCCAACCCCTCTTCCCAGCCCCTGGCATTTCATGTCCATGAATTTGACTCCTCTAGACACTTCATATAAGTGGAATCATATGGTGTTTGTCCTTTTGTGACTCCCTTAATTCACTCATAACATCCTCAAGGGTCATTCATGTTGTAAGAGGACAGGATTTCTTTCTTTCTTTCTTTTTTTTAAAGACTGAATGATATTTCATTGTATGTATATACCACATTTTCTTTATCTATTCTTCTATCCAGGGACATGTGGGCTGTTCCCACCTCTTGCCTATTGTGAATAATGTTGCAGTGAACATGGGCGTTCAAATATCTCTATGAGATCCTGCTGGCTTTTTTTTTTTTTTTTTAAGAGAGCATGAGCTGAGCTGAAATCCAGACTTGAATGCTTAACCAACTGAGCCACCCAAGTGCCCAAGATTTTTATTTTTTTAAAAATCTCTACACCCAATGTGAGGTTCAAATTCACAACCCCGAGAACAAGAGTTGCATGCTCCACCAAGTGAGCCACCCAGGTGCTCCTGAGATGCTGCCTTCAGTTCTTTTGGAAATGTGTTCAGAAGCAAGATCGCTGGGTCAGGTGGTAGGTCTATTTTTAGTTTTCTGAGGAACATCCATGCTGTTTTCTAGAGTGGCTGCACCAGTTTGCATTCCTACCAGCACAGGACAAGGCTTTCAATCTCTCCACACACTCACCGATGCTTGTTGTTTCCTCTTTTCTGATAGTGGCCATCCTAATGGGTATGAGGTGGTATTTCATTGTGCTTCCAATGTGCATTTCTCCAACAATTAGAGATGTTGAGCATCTTTTCATCATATATCCGTTGGCCATCAGTGTGTCTCCTTGGAGAAATGTCCGTTCAGGCCTACCTATTAGGTAGGTCGCTTGTTTTCATTGTTGAGTTGTAGGAGTTCTTCGTATATTCTGAATATCAACCCCTTATCAGAAATAGGATTTGCAATTATTTTCTCCTATAGGTCTTCTTTTCACTCTATGGATTCCTTCGTGCAGAAGACGTTAAGTGTGTAGTCCCATTTCTGTATTTTTGTTTTTGCTGCTTGTGCTTATGTGCCCTTATAATAACCTGAGATGAAGAGCAGGTGTTACGGCCCCAAGTCCATCAGATTCATCCGAAAGCAAAGGCATGGACTTATCAGTGAGCAAAGAATGTCCCGGATCAAGCATAAACATAGACTTTTCCTGAGAACTTTTGTTTATGTTTATTTTTTTATTTTTATAAAATAAAATTTTATTTTTTATATTTATTTTTTCAAAGATTTTATTTATTTATTTGACAGAGAGAGACACAGAGAGAGAGGGAACACAAGCAGGGGGAGTGGGAGAGGGAGAAGCAGGCTTCCCACTGAGCAGGGAGCCCAATATGGGACTCAATCCCGGGACCCTGAGATCATGACCTGAGCTGAAGGCAGACGCTTAACGACTGAGCCACCCAGGCGCCCCTGTTAATGTTCATTTTAACTCAATGACAAACTTTCAAAAAGCCATAACATGGTACAAAGAATTCTTATATATCATCCATTCACAGTGCTCAAATGTTAGCATTTTATATTAGTTTTATCCTGGATCAGAGCAAAGCGAAGGAGAGAACACTCTTTCTGTGGGAATTAGTTTCCTATGGCTGCAATAACTAACTAAACTGGATGGCTTATAACTACAGAAATCTATCCTTTTCCAGTTCCGGAGACCAGAAGTCTGAGATCCAGGTAGGGCAGGGCCGTGCTCCCTCCAGAGGCTCCAGGTCTTTCCTGCCTCTTCCAGCTTCCGGGGCTGCAGGCGTCCCTAGGCTGGTGGCCGCATCCCTCCCATCTCCTCCGTCCTCACGTGGCTTCTCCTCTGTGTCTGTGTCTCTCTTCTTCTGTCTCTTGTAAGGACACCTGTCATTGGATTTCGGGCCATGCTCATCCAGGATGGTGTCAGCTCAAAATCCTTCATTTGTTGTATCTGCAAAGAACCCTTTCCCAAATAAGGTCACTTTCACATGCTCTAGGGGACACATCTTTTGGGGGCCACCATTCAGCCCACTATTTGTGTTTAAAATAACACTTTCCTCCTAGGAGATGAGTAGGGTCTTCTACGCACTGGTGCCGAGAGCAATATTGTGGGCGTGAGGGTACAGGGATGCTTGAAGCAGCTGAGATGAGAGGGACCCAAGGCCTGGCTCTGTCAGAAAGGGGGTTCATCCATCATGAGAACAGTTACAGCATCCTTCCCATGGGTGCCAAGTACAGAATGAGTCACCCTGGAAAGCTGGTTCTTGTGGAATTTTTTGATTAATAACCCCATGTAACCGAGCATTGCAGGTTTAGAGCCATGGATTTGCTGACACATAATAACAGCAGTGTCCCTTTAGGCTCCGCGAGACTGCAACAGGAATGCTGCAAACAGGGAAGGTTTGGGCAATTCAGAAAGTTGGTTGCCAAGGGAACGGAGCAGGTTTGTGAGGGTTGTCAAGGACACTTGTGCCCCTCAGCAGGGACGGCAGAGGTGGGTGGGACCTGAACTCCCAGGCGATCCTTTCAAAGGGGTCCCTGCTTTCAAGCCCCATTCACCTGAGTGATGCTCCACAAGGTTCTGCTTTCAGCATGGGCTCTGGCTTCGGAAAAGTCTTACGAAGCCTTATGTTTCTGTCACAGTCGTGGAGGTGTTGGCAAAGCTCCTTTGATTTTAGGGCAACAGTCTGTTACTGCCACGTGGCTGAGGCGTCCCCACACACCAGGGCTGAAAGATTCAGGCCACGTGTTCATCACGTGAGTCCAAGGCCAGTGGATCTCAGGGGCCCAGGCTCTGTCCATTTGGTTTCTCTTTCCTCCTTGTGGGTGGAGGGTCGCTGCCAGCAGGGAGTGGGGCTGCAGGAGCCAGACCCCTTGTCCTAAGACCCTCCTCCAACCCCCTACGTCCCCGTGGTAACCTCTTGAGCCGTGGCACCCACACCGTCAGACGAGGGTAGACTGGGAAGGGCAGTGTAGTCATGGGCAGGAAGAAGAACCGGGAACGGGGCCTGGCGGGGAGGCTCTGCCATGGTGGGGTCGCCGGGGGGGCCACAGTGGGGTTGCCAGGATGTTCGTGCACAGTCTCCGGGTCCCTACACTAGGTGAATTACACATTCGTATGGACTCTGATGTTGCTGTGTTCTGGAAATCCTAGAGGAGGTGGCTTGCATGGCTTGCTATGCTGTGGAGGTGGCCACAGCAGAGTTGTGTGGTTCGGTCTAGAGATGCACACGCACAGAGAAAATCGGCAAGAATAACACCATGTTGGGGGAACGTGGAAGGTTGCTTTAAACATGAATGTGGTGGTGGTATGCCCCGAATCTCTTCTATTGCTTTTTTATTTTTTTTAAGATTTTATGTATTTGAAAGACAGTGAGAGAGGGAACACAAGCAGGGGGAGTGGGAGAGGGAGAAGCAGGCTCCCCGTGGAGCAGGGAGCCCGATGTGAGGCTTGACCCAAGGACCCCGAGACCACGACCCGAGCCGAAGGCAGACGCTTAATGACTGAGCCACCCAGGCGCCCCTATTGCTTGTTTAAGACATACCCATGTAGTGGAAGCTTCTGTGTGTCATTAAACACCCGAACTAATACAGTTGCTGTGGGGCTGGGTTTGGCAGATGCAGGTGTCGCGGGGAACGCACTGTCATGTCTGTGCACCCCTCGATGCACAGTCAGGGTGCTTGTAACACTTTGCTGCTTTGAGATATGCGCTCAGGGGAATGCAGCTGTAAGGAGAGCGGTTTCAGCGATTGGGAGTGAGGCTGCTGATGCGTCTGTCGCTTTGCTGATTCCTCCCTCTGCCTCCCCAGGAAGCTGTGAGTAGAACAGCCATGTTCACATCATTTGAACAATACGAACAAGCAAATCTGCCGTCATCATGGATGCGTGGAAGGGAAGGGCCCATGCTGTGTCTACCACGAACCAGGACACTTCACGTTCAACTGGCCGGTGAGTGTCGGTAACCTGGAGACAGGCGTACCATGCTGTGTGAGTGACTTGTGATGCCCTTGGTGCCGCCTGGAAACTTTGGGGCCTCAGCCCTGTGTCCTTCAGGCAGCCTGAGGGCCGGGGGCTATGGGACAGGAGCCACGGACCCTTTAAAAACTGCACTTTGTGCAGAGTGTGCTTCCCGCGAGGCACTTGGTGGCTCCAGCGGATACAGTGCAGCGGTCCTCTGCTTTCACTCTGGGGAGCTTGGTGAGGCCAAAAGATGCCAACAGCACCCGGGGCCACTTTGGGGTCTGCCCCCCCAAAGGGAGATTCCTAGGCAGGGACCAGGCACCCCGAGACTGGTCAGAAGGGATAATGGCCACTCAGGGCAGAGCACACACTTGCACTCAGATCCAGGATGAGTCTGGATGTCTTGGTGGCTACAGAGCAGGAATCTGCTCCTGGGGCTTGGGCAGCGGGAAAGGGAGTTTCCAAAGAATGAACTTGGATGACAATCCAGAGCACAGGGTTGGAAGGGCAGCCGGGCCTGAGACCCCTCCAAGGTGAGGGTGCCCTGGGGACTGGGCGGCACGGTCCAACAAGGCCAAGAAGTCAGTGCGGCTTGTACACGATGCTTTCCCCAGTTCTTCGCTCTGGAACGGGTCCGGAAGCCAGCACCCCATCCTGAGGGCCCTGCCTATCTGGGAGAACAAGATTTTCCCTGCTCGAGGGCTGAAACCCATTCCCCCTCACCTGCTGATGGTGGAGGGGTTTGAGAGTCAGTATGGAGACATGGTTGGGACTCTGGTTTGGCCACTTACCAGCCTGTGATGCAGGGTATCCACATCACCCCTTGGGGCCTCCGTTGCCACACCACGAACAAAGTGTGTATGCGAATGTCCCAGTCCAAGGATTGTTGTGACGGGCCGGTGTGACCATTGACACAGAGTGCTTGCTACACAGAAGGTGCTCACGGCATCGGGCACCTGCTGCATGCAAACCAGGAGGGAAGGGAGCCAGAGGTCTGTTCTCCTCTACGATCTGTCCCTGGGGTCCCGGTAACTTATGCACAAGGTCAATAGGCAGCAGGTTCTGTCGGGTTTGAGACCTGATTTTTTTCATGGCATGTTCCCGTGGCCCTAACGAATACCCCAGATTGGCTGGTTTAGACAAAAGGCATTCATTTCTCAGGGTTCTGGAGGATGGATGTGCAAAATCCAAGTGTGGGCAAGGGCTGGTTCCTCCTGAGGCGTCTCTCCTGGGTGTGTAGACCCTGGGTTCTCCCTGTGTCCTCACATGGTCATCCCTCTGTGCGTGTCTGCATCTTCATCCCCTCTTCTTATAGGACCCCGGTGGTATCAGATAAGGGCCCACCCTAATTTCATTTCACCTTTACCACCTCTTTTAATACCCCATCTCCAACTACAGTCCCGATCTGAGGTCCTGGGGCTGAGGATTTCAACATATGGATTTGGGGGAGCACGGTGTACCCCATAACATTCTGCTTAGGAGCTAACATGTGCCTTGGTCCTTCCTTCTCCCCAAGTCCCACGGGGGTGAGGCAATGGCCAAGGGAAACACACACATGCACTGTTTCTATCGCCGCTGGGTACCAGTCTCTGAGCTCTTTGATGAGGCAGCAAAGGAGCCAGCTCCCTCCTGGGGTATCAGGCTGCGTCAGCTGACCCCTGGGGTGTCCATGTGCCCAGCACAACACAAGTGCTCATTGTCAGGAAAGGCAGGAGCGGACAGGCTCAGCGAGGGTATCTGGGGCTCTCAGCAACAGGCGCCTCTCCCAAAAGACACTTCAGCAAGTACAGGGCACCTTTGGGTGGAGGCACAAGTGGTCTCTTTTGTGCCTGGAAAGATTCCCCCTGGGGCTGGATGTGAGATGCGCCATGTGGCCGGGAGCCTCATCTGGGCTCTATGCAGGAATCAGGCCCGAGACTGGGGCTTGGGGCCGGGCTGTGCCATATGTGGGAATTAGCGTGGGGACTGGTGATAGCCTTTGGCCGTGTACACGCCACAGACGTTACTGGGCACAAGGAAAGTGGGGAGACCGGGACGGTCCCGAGTATTAGGGCTCAGCAACTCGGGTATGGACAGCAGCAGAGATCAGTCCTTGGAGCCCAGGTTTGCTCTTAAGGCCAAATCATGATTCCGTGGTTGGATAGATGCATCTGTCTGGGGGAGAGGAGCAAGGTCATATTGGAGTCGCCGGGTGATGAACAAGTTCTGGTCGGGGTAGGACGGTTATATGCAGACCCTGTGCAGGTGATTGTCGCCCTGAAGCAAACAGCTCAGACCCACAGATAGGAACCGTCACTGAAGCTTTGTCATCGATCTAGAAACCTCAGGTCCCTGAGGACAGCCCCCCTGTTGTCTGGTCAGAGTGGGCGGGCACTCTGTCTTCAATGTGCGGGTCTGAAACAGAGCTGTATTTGCCATCATGGAGGACGTAGTTGCAGCAGGAGCTCTGCCCGTGGATGGTGCAATCCCCACATGCAGCGGGAGCTCTGCCTGCAGACTCGGCAATCCCCACACAGGCTGAATGTGCTGTGAACTCCATGGTTACGGCTTTGGACCTGGTAATTGCTTGCTTCCCAGAAGGAAGGGCCTCTGCTCCTGCAGCTAACCGGCAGGGCTCAGGGGCCGTGGGCTTTAGCTGCCCAGCAGAGCCCAGCCTCTGGTCCACCCTCCGCCAGGCCAGCACTTTGCGCACAGCCTGCTTCCAAGTCCCGTACCGTAACCAGCACGTGTGCACCGCTTTCCCGGGTGGAGCGAGACCTCTGGCAAGGGTTGGGGAGAACTCTAGCCTGCAGGGACAGGATTTCTGGGACTCAGGGTCCCACTCTTCCTCCCTCTGCTAGGACGCCTGCGGGACAGACGAATCAGGGCTATTTTGGGGGTACTACGTGGAGGCCCTTAAGGTAAACACACAGGAAAATTCGCCTTTCCAGAGAAATGGCACAGTATTTCCTGAGTCTCAGGGATGTGGGGGGACCCGCTGTGAATGCGCAACGCTAACAGGGGATGGCGGCAGCGGGTGTTAGCCCACACGTAGGTGGGCTTTCCAACACAGGCCCCGAGTCCACAGGAGCGCGCCGCCCTTGCAGGTGTCTGGGAGCCGGGAGCACCGAGCGTGCGGGAGCGCGCTTCAGCGCGCCTCCCCTGCAGGTGTCCGGGGTCAGGAGCAACGAGTGTGCAGGTGTTCGGGAGGGGGGAGCACCGAGGGAAGAGCACCGAGCAGGGTTTTCCCGGAGCAGCTGCAGCGCGGCCCCGAGCCCCCGTCACGTCTCCTCCTCCATCACTTCTCTCCCTGCGCCTCTTTCCTGGGTGGCCTCTCCCCGCATGCACACGCGCTCCCGTCGCTCGCTCGGATTCAGCGGTCTCCCATCACCAGCTTCCGCACCCGTCGTCCGTCTCCGCCCCCTCCCGTCCGTCTGTCCGTTAGTCTCAGTCACTGCCAGTCGTCCCCCTTCAAATAACTCGATCTCCTCCTCTGGCCCCGCGGCGCCCTCCGTCAGTCCTTCATTCAAGCCCGCTGCTGTCCGCCCCTGCGCGGCGCCCTCCGTCCGGGCTCGGCCCCTCGGCACCGTCTGTCAGCCCTTCGTCCGGGCTCGGCGCTGCCCGGCAGCCCCCTCCCTGCTGTCCGCCACTGCTCGGCATTCTCCGTCCGGGCTCGGCACTCTTCGTCCCTGCTCAGCACCCTCCGTCAGCCCTTCGTTTGGGCTGGGTGTGCTCGGTCCGCCCCTCCGTGCTGTCCGTCACTGCTCGGCGCCCTCCGTCCGCGCTCGGCCCCTCGGCCTCCTCCGTCAGCAGGTCGTGTAAGCTCGGCCCCTCGGCCCTTCGTTCGGGCTCGGCGCCATCGTCCGCCCCTCAGGGCTGTTCGTCAGTGCTCGGCACTCTCCGTCCGGGCTCGGCCCCTCGGCGCGCGGTCACGGCAGTTCCTCAGGACTTGGCACCGTCCATCGTCATACGTCAGCAGTTCGTGTAGGCTCGGCCCCTCGGCCCTTCGGCCAGGTTCTGCGCTGTTCGTCAGCCCCTCAGGGCCCTCCGTCACCGCTCGGCTCCCTCCGTCAGCACTTCGTGTGGGCTTGGCCCTTCGTGTCATGTACCCTTCGTCTCCGTGACTGCACCGTGCCGCCGGCGCTCCTCTCTCCGCGGGTGGGGGCCTGGTTCGCACAGTGCCCTGCGCATGCGTCCTGAGTGGCCAGCCAGCCACCCGCCCCCCCCCCCCCCGCGGGCGCCATCGGTGGGGCGCGCCCCTCGGGGGGAGGTGGGTCCTGGCTCCTGCCCTCTTGTCCCTGCCCGCAGCCCCGCCCCCGAAGCACGGCCTGGCCAGGTTTACCCGGTCCCAGGGAGCCCCGTGTTCCCTGTCGCTCCGACAAAGGGCGCATTGCAGAGGTCTTCCCCACTCCAGCAGTACATGCCATTGTGTCCCTGCACCTCATGTAGAGGGCTCCGGGGCTTTCTGCTCCTGCACCTGCGGCCCCGCGGGAGCTCGCGCAGCAGGGCGGGCGCGCGGCTCATCTGCTCGTGCACCTGCGGCCCCCCCCCCCCCCGGGAGCTCGCGCGACATCGTTTTCCTATGTGAAATTTAGGGTCAGAGGATTGCATTCCAAAAGTAAGTACGAATATGTTTTTTGTTAAGGTTGCGTTCGTCTAATTTAAGAAGTGACGTTTACACGAAACGGAATCTAACCGTGAGGAACATGGTGTCCTCACAAGGGTACACGGACTTGTACCTTCAGACGGTGGTAAAACTGTCCTCTCGGTCCCTTCTGTGCATATTTACTGGGCGTCTACTCTGGGGCAGGCCCCACAGTGGCACACAAAACACCTGCACTCAGATCTCTGCCTCCCTTGTCATCGAGAAGCTATTCTCCTGGTGTCCCCCAGCTTGTTTTACCTTTCACACTCAGATCAACAGTTCACTAGGAATTTATTTTTATGCTTCATTTTACTACATACACACAGTTGATGAAACACGATTCTTCTTTTCATCTGTGTGCACCAGTGGGGATACTATACTACACCAAGCGCTCGTAGACATGTGGTTCTACATCTGTTCCAACAATAAAATCAGCTTTCTTTTTTTTTTTTTTTTAAAGATTTTATGTATTTGACAGAGAGAGACACAGCGAGAGAGGAAACACAAGCGGGGGGAGTGGGGGAGGGAGAAGCGGGCTTCCTGCCAAGCAGGGAGCCCGATGCAGGGCTGGATCCCAGGACCCTGGGATCATGACCTGAGCTGAAGGCAGACGTTTAACGACTGAGCCACCCAGGCACTCAATCAGCTTTCTTTTTTCTCAGAGTTGGTCGGGAGTTGGTGAGAATGATGCCAAAGCTTGATCCTGAGAAGCGGGAATGAGAGGTGTCTACCTGGAGGAAGGCATGGAGAGGAACAGACTTGAGGATGAAAATCATGACTTTGGACATGGTTGAGTTGGAGGCATCTGGCAGACACCAAAGTGGAGATGATGGGTTGGCAGCTGCATATAAAACTATTCAATTATGTCTGACAGTCGTTACCTTTACAAAATCTAAATCTTAATGCTTTTTTCCTTTGAATTCTTTTGTGAAAATAACTGCTATCACTTTCATTTTATGTCATTGATAATAAATGGTAACTTTATCCATTTTAAGTGTATGATTTTGTGGCATTGACTATGTTTAGAGTGCTTTGCATCCCTCACCATTTTCCCAGAGCTTTCACAGTGCCCCAAACAAAACTGTCCCCATTAAGCAGTAAGTCCAAGTGTTCCTTCCCCAGCCCCTGGCCACCACTGCTGTCCTTTTGCTGTCTAGGAAGTAACTTTTTCCAGATACTTCAGGTCAATGCAATCATACAAAGTATCCAAACTTGCATCTGGCTTCATTCAGTGAGCATAGTGGTTTTCAGCTGTACACATGTTATATGGGATGTACTGGCCATCATCACCCCGTGTGGTTGAGTAATAGTGCACCGCGTCCATGGTCAATAGCATGTGCCCTCCTCCTCACCCCATGTGGCTGAATAATTATGCACTGCGCCTATGGTCTATAGCACGTGCCCTCCTCATCACCCCATGTGGTTGAATAATAGTGCACCGCGTCCATGGTCTATAGCACGTAACCCCTCATCACCCTGTGTGGCTGAATAATTGTGCACCACCCCGGGGTCATGACCTGAGGTGAAGGCAGACGCTTTGCCGACTGAGCCCTCCAGGCGTCCTAGGAGTTCATTTTATATTCTGGATATGTTCTATATCTGCCTTATCAGATGCATTATGTGCAAACATTTGTCTCTCATTCTTTTTTTTTTTTAAACGATTTTATTTTTAAGTAATTTCTGCATCCAACCTGAGGCTCAAACTCACAACCCCGAGATCCAGAGTCAGGCTCCACCCACTGAGCCAGCTCACCAGTCTTCTTCCCATTGTTTTTTAAAATCTCTTATGGTGTCCTTATTACCAAAGTATTAAATTTTGATGAAGTTCAACCTATTTTCCCTTTGGTTGGTATGCTTTTGGTGTCACATTTAAGAGAGCTGCCCAATCCCAGGTCATGATCTTTCCTGTGCTTTCTTCTAATGGTTTTCTAGCTTTATCCCTGAAATATAGGTCTTTGATCTGTTGTGAATAAATATTTGTGTGATGTAAATTGTCAGAATACACAGGCCATAAATTTCTGGGCTGTCAATTCTCTATTTTTTAAAAAGAAGTTGTTTGAAGTATAATCTACATAAATAAAACAGACTTAAGGGCACAGGTTTAATATCTGAGAAACATAACCACAATGAAGATACAGAATATCTCCGTCACCACAAAATATCTCTTCCCTGTCGCCTTCCCAATCATCCCCAGCCCCACGAGGCAACCAGTGATCTACTTTGTCACTCAAGATTAGACTGATCTTGTCTAGAATTTCATATACATTGAGTTACAAAACCTTTTGTGTCTGGCGTCTGTTCAACATAATGATTTTGATATTTATGGATATGTGCATCAGTAGTTCATTCATTTTTTTATTTTTATTTTTTAAAGATTTTATTTATTTGAGAGAGAGAGTGAGCCAGCATAAGCCGGGGGGAAGGGCAGAGGAAAAGGGAGAAGCAGACTCACTGCTGAGCCAGGAGCTCAATGCGGGACTCAATCTCAGGACACTGGGATCGTGACCTGAGCTGAAGGCAGACACTTAACCTACTGAACCACCCAGGTGCCCCGTTCATTTTGAATAGATGTGTAATGTTACATTGTATAGATACAGTAGAAGTTGTGTTTTTTCCTAGTTTTGGCTAATATGCGTAGTTCCTATAAAGTTATGTGCGAATGTGTGTGCACATATATTTCATTTGTTTTGTCAAACCTAAAAGCAGAATCCGTGGTTCATTTTGAGTTTTAACTTTTTAAAAATTTTTGTTTATTTACTTTTAAAGATTTTATTTATTTGAGAGAGAGAGACACAGCAAGAGAGGGAACACAAGGGAGAGGCAGAAGCAGGCTCTCTGCGGAGCAGGGGGCTCAATGTGGGACCTGACTCCAGGACCCTGGGACCATGACCTGAGCCGAAGGCAGACAGTTAACGACTGAGCCACCCAGGAGCCCATTTTTTTTTTAATTTTTAAAGATTGTATTTATTTGAGAGAGAGTGTGTGAGAGTGGGGAGGGGCAGAGGCAGAGAGAGGATCCTAAGCAGACTTCCCACTGAGCAGAGCCTGATGAGGGGCTTGACCTCAGGACCCGCAGATCACGACCTGAGCCAAACTGCGGAGTTGGCTGTTCCGCCGACTGAGTGACCCAGCCCCCACCTTGTATTTTAATGTTTCAAAGACAGTATGAACGTAGTTCTCCAAAGTATTAGGACCATTTCCACCAGCAGTGTATCAGAGTTCATACGACTCCAGAACCTCGCGGACACTTGGCGCACCCATCTTTCTAACTGTTGTCATTCTCATGGGTGTTTAGTGGTGTCTCGTGATTTTAATTTGACTTTGTTGATTTAATTTGACTTTCTCTGATGAATACTAATGCCCAGCATTTCTGTGGGCTGTTCAGTCCATCCTGTATCTTTTGGGAAGTGTCCCCAAGTTGTTTCCCAGCTGTCTATTCTGCAGAAGGCTCTCTGTGTTGCATGAGACCGACCAGAATCAGTCTGTCATCCACCCCCTAGGATCGGACCTCCAACGGCATCTAGGCCACCATCTGGGCTCGGTGTCACCTGTTGTAAGACACAGGCTGAAAACCAGCTGTACAAAGAGCACCTGGGTTGTTGCTCGCAGTCCATTTGTTGAAGCTGAGCAGACGTGCACTTTTACATGGAAGGTGAGTGTCCACCTGCACCTCCTGGTGTGGGCTCCCTCTCTGCATCCTGATCTCTGCCTTTACGTCGGCCTCGGGCGTTCCAGGAGGAAGGGACCTGCTGCTGTACCCGACCCTGCATGGTCACCTCCCTGACGCTGCCCCGCACTGCCTGAGCCCCCAGTGGAGGATGAGGGGTCGGAAAGCCGCCCTTGCAACCTCTGAAATAGAGATGGTGAACTTTCTCTCTTTTTTTAACTTGTTTGAGTAAAAAGCGTTTGAGTCCAGAGTTTAAGAAGTTGTTTAAAACTGGCACTAAAGAGAAGAAAACGTTCCTGTGAAGTTGGGAGGCCTTCGAGCCGACTGAGTGCAGCCTTGGGAAACGCGGAGCTGAAATCCTGTGTCCCATGCTTGTGCTGTTCGAGCCCATCAAGGGTCACAGGAGTCCGTCCTGTTCGTGGCCTGCCACTGTAGCCCTACCCCTGGCTTCCAAGGACGGGCCCAAACCCAGCACAGGTACTTTCACTGTGCAGCTTTTGTTCTGGGTCACGTAGCCCGGGCCACCAGCCCCAGTGACTACCCTGTGGGCCCTGAGCCTTCTACTGCATATCAATGGAAGGGAACCATGTTTTCCGGACACAGCACAGCCACCCCACCTGGAGGCAGATGGGAGCACGCTGCTCACAGAGCCTGACGTGGGCTCTTGCAGGAGAAATGCAGGAGGCAAGTGGACAACAGGAGCTCGACGCCCAGGGAGGCACAGCCCTGGCATATGTGTAGCTGGGGCACTCCACTGTTGATTCCCCAGAAGGGGACCTTGCGTCGGAAGACAGTGTTCATGAGGCTGGGGAGGGGGCCATGAGACCTGGCCTGGTTTTCAACATACATACTCTGCAATCGACCTGTTTCCCACGCCATGCCATGCACTGCCTGGGAATGTGGGTGCTAGGGACCCAGAGTTAGACAGAACCCTAACCTAGGTGCTGCTTACCTGGCTGCATCTGGGTGGACGTGGACACTGAGCACAATGGTCACGACTATGCAGTCACAACTCATCAGGTGGTCCTGCCGTGTCTCACTCGGTAGGTAGGCTCTGTTGTAGGATGGGATAAGGTGTATCCTGCCGGCCTACCCAGGTCTGCTGACGGTCCAGGTGACTTGGGACCACTGACACTGGTTAGACGTGGGGAGGATTGGAGAGAAGGGTGAAGTGGTCAGGGCACTGGCATCTTGTGGCAGATTGGACAACACATACCTTACACCTGGGGGTGAGTGGTGGGAACAGTGGGCTTTCACCTGTAGGATACCCCGGATAGCCGGTCCTCTCAGAATGTTCTAGCATCTGCTCACCTCCTTGGAATCCTTGACCTACAGATGGCAGTAAAAGAAATCGGGCCAGATGTCATCCCGGATGCATGGTGGTGTTCTCTGCTGCCTAAGCCACAAGTTGAATATTTTCCAGCTTTCAGAATCTGGGGGTTTGCTGGGGTGGGTTCAGGTGTGCCTTCAGAGTTCTCTGAATCCTTTTCGGAGTCCCACATGGCATGGTTTCCTTCTGTATGGGAGGCTGAGTCCTCTGCTATAGTTCAGGTGTCCCCAGTCCCTGAGGCTTTGGAGCCATATTCCTGGGTTGACCTAGGAGCATGGCAGGTCTGATCTGCTGGCTATGTGGTGAGCTCCCCGGAGGGCTGAGTGGGGGCATGAGTTAATGTGAATGTCAGGCTCAGGGTCTGGGTCCAGGGGGCCATTGAAAGTGGGGGTTCACTGGGATGGGCTCTGGTGGGCGTGCAGGTGTCTCTTGCTCTGCATCTTTTCTGGAGGCCCAATTGGCTCGGTTTCCATATGGGTGGCAGGCTGAGTACTGCGGTAGGTCTCGGGAGTCCCCAGTCCCTGTGGACTTGGAGCAAGGCCTCTTGTATCCACCACTCAGAACCGGACCTAGGGTTTAGGGTTCGGGTTCGGGTTCGGGGTTAGGAGTTAGGGTTAGGGGAATGGGTTAGGGGTTCGGGTTCGGGTTCGCGCTTCGGGATTAGGGTTCGGGTTTGGGTTCGGGTTCGGGTTTAGGGTTCGGGTTCGGGTTCGGGTTCGGGTT